CCCTGAGCACCGGCAAGCACCCTGTGTGCAAAGCCTGGAGTAAGTCCTGAGCGCTGCCAGGAGTGGCCCCAAAACAAACAGAATAGCAGGACCGGGTGCTGGCCTTGATTCAGGACATCTGCGTGTGATCCCCACACTGCATATGGCTCCCCGGGCACCTCCAGGAATGATCTCTGAGCACAGTCAGGAAAAAATCCTGAGTACCCCCACCGCACCCCAGAAATCATCAAAATGACACACACTTAAAGGGAAAGAGCTGAGGAGCTGGATTTCTTCCTGAGCTGCCCCTGCACCACTGGGTGTGAACCCAGCCCCTGCCCTCCCACACACACTAAAAGAATTATTTCAATAATAACAGGAAGCACAATACATTAAAAACACCCCAAGGGGCTGGAGCGATGGCACAGCGGGTAGGGTGTTTGCCTTGCACGCAGCCGACCCGGGCTCGATTCCCAGCGTCCCTTATGGTCCCCCCCAAGCACCACCAGGAGTAATTCCTGAGTGCATGAGCCAGGAGTAAGCCCTGAGCAATGCTGGGTGTGACCCAAAAAGCAAATAAATGAATAAATAATAAAAACACCCAGAATATTGTGGGCAGAAGGGACTAAAATCAGAGGCGCTGGCTCCTGGGTCTGTGCTCAGGGGTCACTCCTGGTGGGACTCGGGGCCATACACGGTACCGGATCTAAGCTGGGTATCGCGAATGCCAGGCGAGTTCTCCAGCACGAGCTCCCCGCCCCGTGATTTATTTACCTGTTTCACGGGGACCAAAGCAGCCTGCATCCCGTGCTGCTCTGGGAACACACTTTTCATTCTAGAACTTTGATAGCATCTGGAGGACTGCGCGTGCTCTCCCCAGAGGACAGGCCCGTCCCGGCAGACAGCAGCACGCAGGCGGACAGCACGCCGTGCTCAGCAGCTCCGGGCATCGTTGTTCAGTTCCGTCGGAGCTATTAATACACATGAGTCACGAAAGCACGCTTCCTGAACTCGCTTCCCGGGAGCGAGCGATGCGCCCGTCCGGGAGAAGCGCCTGCACTCTCGCTTGCAACAGTTTGAGCAGAAGCTGGAGGCTCAGGGAAGGGACAGAGTCGCCGGAATCATACACCAGCATCCGGACGCGCTGCCATCCTCCCCACAGAAGCGGCGCTTGGTGGTCACTCACTCGGCCACACTCAGGCCCGGAAGCACTGTGCAGGGCCACCGCTTTCTTGGGGAGCAAAGAGGCTTTTCCGAAGGTGACTCCCCAGGGACTTAGCTGGGTGCAGCGGGCACGGAGCTATGCAAGTGCCATGGCTTTGTGGGCCAACTTGTGTGTGGGAGGTGGAAAGTAGTGGTCAGGGCAGTGAGGCTGGCCGGCATCTTGGACACAGCCCTTCCCACGGAACCAGACTCCTCATGGGGGTGTGTGTACGAGAGGACCTGCCTGGGCAGTGTGTGAGCATGCGTGCGCACGTGCGTGTGTGTGTGTCTGTGTGTGCACAGGACCATCTCGGGCAGTGTGTGCATGTGTGTGTGTGCGTGCATGCGTGCGTGCGCAGAACCATTCTGGACAGTGTGTGTGTGTGCATGAACACAAAACCGTCTTAGGCAGTGTTCGTGTGTGTGTGTGTGTGTGTGTGTGTGTGTGCGTGTATGCACAGAACTGTCTTGGGCAGTGTGTGTGTGCGTATGTGTGCATGTACACAGGACCATCTTGGGCAGTGAGCTTGTGTGCGTGAGCTTGTGTGTTTGTGCACAGGACTCTCGGGCAGTGTGTATGTACGTGTGTGTGTGTGTGTGTGTGTGTGCGCGTGCGCACACAGGATCATCCAGGGCAGTGTGTGTATAAGAGTAACTCCCAAGTGTGCTGGTCCATGGCCTGTGCTGAGGAGTGCATAGCCAGGGCCTGTGTCTGTGTTTGGGAAATGGGAAGCAGAAGCACAGGTCTCTCAGGCCTCTGGGCGACATGATCTCCAGGATCTTTCTGCACCGAATAAAAAGGTCCCATGATGGCACATCACATGACTCTGAACCCAGGGCTGGAGAGCGTATGGGGTTAAGACTCGCCTTGCACACAGCTCTTCGAGCCCCATATATGGTCTCCTGAGCACCTCAGGACAGACAGCAGAGACATGTAGCCCCAGGGCACTGCAGATGGCCTGAAGCCGAAGCCCCTCCCCCCAGCAATGCCCCTCGCCCCTAAAAAAAAAAAAAAACTCAAAAACCAAAACCAGAGGTCAAAGCAAAATTGAGGTGGGTAAGGCAATTGCCTTGCACGCAGCCAACCTGGTTTTGATTCCTGGCAACAGACAGGGGCCCCCCGCGCCCACCAGGAGTGATCCCTGCTTGCAGAGCCAGGGGTCACCTGTGGGTCTGGCTCTAAAACAAGCATAAAAACAAAACCAGAAAGACTCCAAACTCAGCTGAGGTTCTGGAAGGGAGACTTGGGGGTGCCCAGGGCTCCGGTTTAAGCGCCTCCACTGAGCCTGCGTTGAGAGACATGAACTATGGCCCGGGAGTGACAGCACAGCAGGAAAGACGCTTGCTTTGCACGTGGCTGGCCCGGGTTCTTTCCCGGACATCCCAGATGCACCCTCCCCAGCCCTCCAGGGGCCATCCAGGAGTACACTGGGTGCGGGCCCAAAACAAAAACAAAGACCCCATGACACTTAGCATATGAAAGCAGCCTGGGCTTGAAGTACAACAAGCAAGTACATTCTCAGTGCTGTGCAGCCACCCCAGAGCCTGCTTTGGGTGCTGCCTCCCTGCCGTTCTAGAGCTCTGGCCTAGTAAATCACTTTTCTGACCAGCTTGGTATCATTTTGGTCTGGGGGCTACACCTGGCAGTGCTCTGGACAACTCTGTTTACACTCGGAGGACCACGCGATTCTGGGGATCAAACTCAGGCCACTGGGGGCTGGAGCGATAGCACAGCGGGTAGGGCGCTTGCCTTGCACGCAGCCGACCCGGGTTCGATTCCCAGCATCCCATATGATCCCCTGAGCACCGCCAGGGGTAATTCCTGAGTGCAGAGCCAGGAGGAACCCCTGTGCATCGCCGGGTGTGACCCAAAGAGAAAAAAAAAAAAATCTCAGGCCACTCACATGCAAAACCCGTGTTCCGGCACTCTGAGTCGTCTCCTGGCCTGGAGCGGGCTGAGGTTGAGTTTGTCCAGACCCTCACCAACACTTCTTTTGTCAACCTTCTATTTCTGCCTCTTGGAAACCTCCAAAACAAGAAGCTCTAAAGATGAAGGGAAGAACTCAAACCACTCCGCAGCACCAACGGCCCTCTAGCCCAGAGCCTTACCGGAACAGAACTGGCTGTGGCATGCCCCAAGGCGAGGAAAAAGAGCAAAGTTGTTTCTGTAGTTCGGGGCCACACTCAGCAAAGCTTCTGACAGTGCAAGGCAAGAGCCTTAGCACTTGAAAAATCACAAAGGTACTACCCCATACCTGGCCGTGCTCAGGGGACCATACTGGACGTGGATCGCCATGTGCAAGGCCAGTGTCCTTGGAACAGGAGGGACAGCACATCTGGGGCATTTTTCTGGGCTGCACCAATTTTGAGGTTTTTCCACGGGGAGGCCGTACCTGGCTGAGCTGGGAGACCATATGCGTGTCAGCCTCTGAGCCCGGGTCTGCTGCGTGCACAGTGGCTTCTCTACTGTACTCGCCCCAATCCTAGCTACTGCCTCTGCGGGTCAGACACATGCTGTGTCCAAGTTCTGGGCGAGGGCCCAGCCAGCCCCCCAGGACCCCCCTTTTCTGTTCCTCCCAATGGCCCAGCCACATGCTCCCATAAAGCCGGGAACTGACCCAGGGCCTCCTCTATGGCAGGCGCGTGGCTCTCCTGCTGGGCTCTCCTGGGCGCTACCAGCAACCCCAAGGGGCCAGTGCTGCTGGGATGTAGCCAGATCACCTGAGGCCTCAAACCTTTTTGTTTTGAAGCCACACTCAGCAATGCTCAGTGTTTACTCCTGGAGTGCTTGAGGATCAAAGCCGGGTTAGCCAGGTGCAAGGGGTGGGGGGGGGGGGGAAGCACCCTATCTGGGCTGGAGCGACAACACAGCAGCAGTGAGCGCATCTGCCTTGCCCACGGGCAACTGAGTTCTCACCAGCATCTCATATCGACCCCTGAGCACTGCCAGGAGTAATTCCTGAGTGCAAAGCCAGGAGGAACCCTTTGTACATTGCTGGGTGTGACCCAAAAAGCCAAAAAAAAGAAAGGAAAAGTGCCCTATCTGCTGGCCCAGCATGTCTGCATTACCCCCAACCCCGTCCAGGAGCCATTCCTGAGGCCCCTGTGCCCCTCCCCCACTTAAGGATTCCCTTTTGCATAGTGACCACTTTGGTGGGCACAGCCTGCCCTGCCCAGACAGCTTGACAGACCTTTCAGGCAGGGTGGCAGTTAAGCAGATTTGGAGAGCGCTTGAGCCAGGCAGCTAAGGATTATAGGGTTCTATTTAGGGCACAGGTGAACCTAGGGGCATCGCGTCATGACAGATGCACAGGAGTCCTACAGTGAGGGGACAGGCTGGGCACAGTCTCACTGCATGGTCCCCCCCCCCCCCGCACCAACAGGTGTGGTCCCCAAACCCTTTGCTGTCTCCATTCCCCTCCACTCCAAAGAAGACAATACCCATCACTTTTCCTTTAATTCCTCTGTATTTGTTGCGACCTTTAAGCAGGGCTCTGCATTTCCACGGACAAACTCAGCTGAGCTCTAAAACAGCTTTACAACACGCCGAGGGAGCGGTGCTCTTCTTTGGATGCTCTACGGATGGTCACTCCCATCAGGCTGGCTCAGGGCAAGACTCATTCCTAGAGGCCTGGGACATGCAGTTGCGACTACGAGGATGGCAGGCGCCGAAGTTCTAAAGCTGAGAGCTGGGTTAGCAAGTGTCTCCCCTAAACATCACGGATTTAGCTCCACACTTCAGTGACAAAAGGTTTGGTCTACTAAGCAGTCTGCTTGATCATTGAACACTTAGACCACAAAATGAACACTAGATTACGTACATCTTACAACGATCTCTTAAAACAAGCCAACACAAAACTCTAAAGGGACTAGCTCTGCTCTAGCAGCGGATGCATCACGGGATCACTTAGAAGTAGAAAGAAATCTTAGCTTCTCCCTAAGTAGTTATGTCATGCCGTACAGTTTTTTTAAATTTTAACAAAAATAAAGAAAAGTCATTGAAGATCTATGGTGGGAGGGAGGGGGGGACCAGAGTGCGGCGGGCGGCCTCAGTCCACTTCCTCCATGCGGGAGCTGTCATCGTCCCCCTCGAGCGGGGGCATCTCCTCGGTGACCGCGGGGCTGCTCTCGTCGGCAGCGGGCTCATCTTCATCGATACCTGTCGGGAGTGAAGCCCATGATCAGCGGGGCGTCTTAACAGAACCACGAGAGCCCCTGGCGGCACGTGACTGCACCAAGCCCCGTTCCAGCCCCACGCCCCAACAGTGCTCACCGAGCCCGAGCTTGATCATCCTGTAGATCCTGTTGGCGTGGGTCTGGGGGTCCTCCAGGCTGAAGCCCGAGGACAGCAGCGCCGTCTCGTAGAGCAGGATCACCAGGTCCTTCACAGACTTGTCGTTCTTGTCGGCCTCGGCCTTCTGCCGCAGGGTCTCGATGATCGAGTGGTCGGGGTTGATCTCCAGGTGCTTTTTGGCCGCCATGTAGCCCATGGTGGAGTTGTCTCTCAGGGCCTGAGCTTTCATGATCCGTTCCATGTTCGCCGTCCAGCCGTACGTGCTCGTGACAATGCAGCACGGGGATGTCACCAGTCGGTTGGAGACGACCACCTGGAACCACAGCAGCCAGTGGGCCTCCCTCACCGGGAAACGGGTCCCCGGACCCCGACGCCCACTGCTGGGGCACCAAGACAGGAAATGCAGCCTGAGTCCTAAACACCGCATTTCCGGGTCCCTTTCCGGGAGAGCGGCCCAACCGCTCAGCCGGACCCTCGCAGGCCCGAGAGCCGTTAAACACGGAGCTCACGTACCTTTTCCACTTTCTTCTCCAAGATGTCCTTCATGATTTTGCAAAGATTTTCAAACTTTGTCTTCTTCTCCTCCTGCTTCTTTTTCTCCTCTTCGTCTTCTGGAAGCTCCAAGCCCTCTTTCGTGACAGACACCAGGGTTTTGCCCTCAAACTCCTTGAGCTGTTGGACGCAGTACTCGTCGATGGGCTCGATCATATAGATCACCTCCAGGCCATGCTTCCGGAGCCGCTCCACAAACGCGGAGTTGGCCACTTGGTCCTTGGTCTCACCTGTGCGTCACAAAGACGTCTGAACAAAGGACTTCACTTCCTTCCCGCCACCTACGCACCCGAGTTCCCAAGTTACGGATCCAAGGGCTGAAGCCATCTATCTCCGCGGACGTTACCTGTGATGTAGTAGATGTGTTTCTGATTTTCCTTCATTCTTGTGCAGTAATCCTTGAGAGAAACCATCTCGTCACCAGAAGCAGAGGTGTAGTATCTCAGCAGCTCCGAGAGCTTCTTCCTGTTCTGAGAATCTTCATGGATTCCAAGCTGAAAGGAACCAAGTTTTAGTAAGACCGTCCCTCCGTTAAGCAGGGAACGTGCGCGCGCTTGTGGGCCACCGCCAGCGGTGCTACTGTGCTCGGGACAACGCGGGTGGGCGGTGGGCAAGGCCAGACCCGCCTGCCCTCCCGCTTCTACTCCCCAACCCCCTTTAGAAGTCAATGTGAGGAGCTGGAGCTATAGCAGTGGGTAGGGCTTGCACGCAGCGAACCCAGGTTCAATTCCCAGCATCCCATATGGTCCCCTGAGCACCGCCAGGTGTGACCCAAAAAGCAAAAAGCGCAAAAAAAAAAAAAAAAAAAAAGGGTCAATGTGGTTACTCCAAGGCCCGAGTATGTTTCTACCAACCTTAATATTTTTAGAGAATTGTTCATAAAACTTTTTGTAGTTTTCCTTATCTTCTGCGAGTTCAGTGAAGAGTTCCAAGCATTTTTTAACCAGATTCTTCCTAATAACTTTCAAAATTTTGCTTTGTTGCAGCATCTCCCGGGAAATATTTAAAGGGAGATCCTCGGAATCCACCACACCTCTAATAAAATCTGCGAAGACAAGGGCTAAAGTTAGCTCCAGAGACAAACATCCCCACACCCCACAACCAGGCCACCATCGCCGGCCTCGAAGCCAGGCCCGGCCACTCACTCAGATACTCAGGGATCAGCTCTTCGCAGTTATCCATGATGAAAACTCTGCGAACGTACAACTTAATGTTGTTCTTTTTCTTCCGGTTTTCAAAAAGGTCAAAGGGCGCGCGTCTCGGGACGAAAAGCAGGGCTCTGAACTCCAACTGGCCTTCGACGGAGAAGTGCTGGAAGGGAACGAACACGGTCGTCACCTAAAGCCCGGCGGCCTAGGCACACCCCCCCGCGGGCTTGGGCTCCCCCTCACCTTGACTGCCAGGTGGTCCTCCCAGTCGTTGGTCAGGCTCTTGTAGAACTCGCCGTACTCCTCGTTGGTGATGTCATCTGGGTTCCTGGTCCAAATCGGCTTCGTTTTGTTCAGCTCTTCTTGATCAATGTACTTCTCCTTGATCTTCTTCCTCTTCTTCTTGTCGCCTTCCTTCTTTTCCTCCTCCTCCTCATCAGAGCCAACATCTTCGATCTCGGGCTTGTCGTCCGACTCCTTTTCCTCCTCCTCCTTCTCCTCCTCTTTGTCTTCTTTCTCCTCAGCCTCATCATCACTGACCTCTTTGTCACGTTCCTTCTCCACCTTCAAAAGCCAAGAACCCACGTCACCCCGCGTCCCAGAACTAGAGCACACGGCGGCAAGCGGTGGGTGTGCTCGTCTCTGCCTGCCGCCCGGGGCCGCATCAATATTTGATGCATGGGTTTCAATCAACCGCCCAGGGTCCACCCCGAGGGAGGCCAGAGGACAGAATTTCACACCAGCCCGGCGACCCGTAACCTAAGCCGGTCGCTGTGTTCCGGTTCCCCCACACCGGGAGTCTCACTCACGAAGAGCGTAATGGGGTAGCCGATGAACTGGGAGTGTTTCTTGACGATCTCCTTTATCCTCCTTTCCTCCAGGTACTCGGTCTGGTCCTCTTTGAGATGCAGAATCACCTTTGTCCCCCGGCCCATAGGTTCACCTGAAAGGGAAGCGGGGCCAAGCGCTCCATCTCAGCGCCAGCGCAGGCCAAAGCCGGCCTCCCTGGCATCAGGCTGGCCTCACCCCAAAGGGAAACCCAGTTCCCCAGAGCACCGTGGACTAACTGGCCCTCACCAACCCCCCAGATCCCTGGGCTTGGGGGGGTCCCAACGGTACAGCGCCCCCCAGGCCCGCCACGCACCCACGTCAGTCCGGACGGTGAAGGAGCCGCCGGCCGACGACTCCCAGGCATACTGCTCGTCGTCGTTGTGCTTGGTGATGACCGTCACCTTCTCGGCCACCAAGTAGGCCGAGTAGAAGCCGACCCCGAACTGGCCGATCATGGAGATGTCGGCGCCCGCCTGCAGCGCCTCCATGAAGGCCTTGGTGCCGGACTTGGCGATGGTGCCCAGGTTGTTGATGAGGTCGGCCTTGGTCATGCCGATGCCCGTGTCCACGATGGTGAGCGTGCGGTCCTGCTTGTTGGGGAGGAGGTTGATGTGCAGCTCCTTCCCCGAGTCCAGCTTGCTGGGGTCCGTCAGGCTCTCGTAGCGGATCTTATCCAGCGCCTGCCGGGGCGGGGGGAGGGGGGAGGGGGAGCGGGGCAACAAAGGGCGGCGGTGAGGCTCCCCCCACCCCGGCCCGCGCGCCCCTCCCCCACCCGCCCCGGAGACCCCCGCCGCCACGCACGTCGGACGAGTTGGAGATGAGCTCGCGCAGGAAGATCTCTTTGTTGGAGTAGAAAGTGTTGATGATCAGGGACATGAGCTGCGCGATCTCCGCCTGGAAGGCGAACGTCTCCACCTCCTCCTCCTCCATGGGCTGGTCCTGCGTCTGCGTCTCCTCCGGCATCTGCGGGGCCGACACAGACCGCGCCGCTGACTCCGCGCGCCCCGCACCGCCCCGCACCGCCGCGGCCCGGCGCCGGGGGACCCGCGGGGGCGCCGCCAGACAAAGGGATGACCTCACCGCCGCCCGGCCGCCCGCCGCCGCGTCCGGGGACCCCCCACGCCGCGGGGACCCCTGCCCACCGCGCCGGGGCCGACCGCGCCCCGCAGCGCCCCGCGCCCCCGCCCGGGCCCCCCCGTCCCCCCACCCCCCGCCGCCCACGGGCGCCCGTCCCGGCCTCCCCGGCCCCCCGGCTCCCGGCCCGGCCGCCCCCCAGGCCCCCGCCGCCCACCCCTAGTCCCTCCGGACCCCCGGCGCCCACCCCCCGCGCCCCCGGCCCCGCTCACCTTGGCGGCGAGGGCCGTACGCGCTCGGCACCGACGGCGCACCCGGACGATGGAGCAACTGGCGTGCCGCCCCCGCGCCGCCCTTATATAGACGCGGGCCCGCCCAGCGCGCGGCGCCTTTTCCAGAAGCCTCCCGAACCTTCCGGAAGGACCTCCCCAACCGCCGCCGCGGCCGCGCGCCCGCGCCTGCGCCCTGGCGCCCGCCCCGCCGCGCGCCGCCGGCCCGGGGCCCCGCCCCCCGCGCGGAAGTCTCGCGAGCCTTCGCGCCTCCTTCCCGCGGCCCGGCGGGCTCCGGCGGGCGCGCGGACGCGGCGCTCGGGGCGGCGGGGGGCGCTGGGGCGGGGGTGGGCGTGGGGGTGGGGGTGGGCGTGGGGGTGGGGGTGGGGTCTGCTAGCTGAGGGGGGCCGAGGGCGCCCGCCACCCCGCCGGGCGGGACGCGTGGGAGCGCGCGCAGGGCCCGGGAGCCGCGGACGGGGGCGCCGGCCCTCCCGGAAACGCCCCCGGCCGCGTCCTCGCTCCCTGCGCCGCCGCCTCCTCCCCGCGCACCCGGCCCCCGGGGAATGATCTGGAAGGTTCCAGCGGCGCCGATCCTCCCCCCCCCCCCTGCTCCCCCGCCCCTCCTCCACGCCAGGCCCTTCCAGCCGGAAGCCCCTTTGCAGGGCTCCCGCTGGGCTTGCTGGGCTCGGGCCGGACCAAGCCCGCTGTTCTCGGGCAGGTTGGGGGGGAGCCTCCTCGCAGCCCCCCCTGAGCTTGGGGGGCGGGGACTTCCTCGGCATCCCACAGGGCCCCCCCAACACCCCGGAGCAAGGCCTGAGCCCTGCTGGGAGGGACCCACCCCCACCCGGAAAAGAGCACTTGGCCCTGCTTCGACCCCAACTGAGACTTGAGCTGCGAAATCCTGGGGTCCACTGCCTTCTGCAAGCACCTGCCCCAGAGGGTGGAGGGGCCGAGTGTTAGGACGCCGCAACACGAAACCCCGTCAGGAGAACGTTGGACATCAGGGGCCTCAGAATCAAAGAAAAAAAACAAAACCCGAAGAATTTCTCCCAAGGCCGCTGCTTGTACCCCGTTTCCAGGTTGACCCCCACCTACCGGCAAACCTGAGTGCCCCGCACTCCCGTACCCCCAGGGACGGGACAGCAGGCGCCGGTTCTGGGCACCCTGGTGGAGGGGTGGACTGTGCTGGGGCCTCAGATGTCCACAGTAGCGTCATGGGGACCTCGGGGGGACCCCAGAGGGAGCTGCGTGCAGTGTACACTGCGTGGGGCGCTGGGCCCCAAATGGAGCCCAGAGGGCACATCAGGAGGCTTCCCTGGGGGGTCCCAAGTCTGGGCAGTGAGGCCCAAGGGCGCCCCCCCACACACACACACAGGGCAGGCACAGGTGAGTCTGTGGTCACTGCGGGACCGGGAAGGAGGACACGGAGGCGCCAGGCTTGGTCAGTGCTGGCAGGCCCAGGCAGCACCCAAGGGCCCAGGAGTGTGGGGGCGTCTGGTGTGGGCAAGCAGAGGCTCGTTCCCATCGCCTTTGCCCCCTGTGGCTCAGCGGTGCACAGGGACACTGACCACCCCCACCCCCACCCCCTGCCAGACTCTGAGGGCTGAGCTGGGGTGGTGGGACCAGTTGCAGCCGGTTCCGAGAGAACCTGCTTCTTCCCTTGCCCCAGGCGGGGCCCTGGGCGCTGGCTTCCCTTGAACTCACCTTCAAACCTCCTGAGTCATTTTCACTCCTCAGGACCGCAGCCCCCAGTAGGACAGCTGCCACTTGCGGGGCAGTTTTCCCTTGGAAAGGCCTTTTCCCCGCAGCCCCAGGGCGCTAGCGTAGGGCTGAGATGCTGGTCTCTGCGAATGGCCAGCCTGGGGTTCAGTTCCTCCTACCACGCAGTCCCCTGGGACTGCCAGGTATGGCCTTGGACACCCCAGCACCAGTAGGGTGTCAGGGAACTCCCTGGTGTGTTCGGTGTGTGTGGGAGAGATAGGACAGGGTGTGTCGGGGAGATAGAATGGCGAGGAAGGTGCTTGCTGTGCACGCGGCTGTCCTGGGTTCGAGCCCTGACATTCCCATGTGGTCCCTGGAGCACCATCAGGAGTGATTCCTGAGTGCAAAGCCAGGAATAAACCCCTAAGCACTGCCAGGCGTGGCCCCAAAACAACAGCAACAAAATAGGGGCGGAGAATGTAGGGGCGAAGACTCTAGCCAACCTCAGGTTCACCCCTGATTCCTACCTAGTCCCCCAACACACTAGGAGTGATCCCTGAGTGCGCATCACCATGTGTGCCCCCCAAACAAAGCCCAACTAAACCAGAACTCCCGGTCTCTGGGCTCAGCCAGGAAGCTGACTCTGCCCTGCGTCTCTGTTCACATGCGGCTGCATCCGGGGTACCAGCAGCAGCCTCTGGGGTGTGGGAGGTTACCAGTCATCTCCCCTCTCCTGCCTGCTCATCTGGGGGTCCCGCCACATCTGCCCCCTTTGCATATACCCCACACTCAGCCCCTCAATGTAGCGGACACCCACCCTGACCAACAAGCCCTCGTTTGGGGGCCGCAGAGGAGCAGGACACGTCGGGCGCCTTACTGGAGCTCATCAGTGACCAGGCCCTCTCTGAAGCGGCCGGCAGGAGCCCCCCAAATGCAAGTGAGCACTCAATCCCCTCAGATTTAACATCTTCCCGGGACTCGTTACTCTGCAGATGCTTCCAGACCCTCCTCCCACTTCTGTGCTCTAGAAACTTCCTTCCTGAACACGTCCTCTGCCAGGCCCAGCTGAAAATCACCCCCTCGGCCTCATTCCCCCAGTGCCAGTTGCCCATGCTGCAGTCACAGGGCTAATGGAAGTGGGACTTGGGGGGAGTCGTCTGAGGCAGGGCCAGGGCGGGCCCAGGATGTGTGCGAGGCTGGACTGTGGTGCCACCTGCCGGCCTCTGTGGGCAGTGCCTCCACTGTGAAAATCTTTTCCCAAAGAAGGTAGCCCCTGGCTGGCCAGCTCTAACTTCAGCCGGAGAAGCACCTGGCAAAGCACCAAGCCTTGCACTGAGCAGGAACGAAACTGTAAAATCTTACCACGCCGACAAGAGTGTTATCCTACACGAAACCATCTAAGAAAGAGCACAGCAAGGAGCTTCTGAAATTCAGAGATGGGGAGGGCCCCTATTGTGCTGTTGAGCCGAGACAGCTCGGGATAGGAGAGGTAGGAAGGCAGATAGGGAGGGCCCCTTCCCGAGCAATGGCAGTAACTCTCCTGGGAGTAGCCCTGACCTCATGGAGAACTGGCGCTAGTCTGTAACAGACCCTGAGAAGGCTGGACCAACCCCCTGCAACAGAAGCTCCTGCAGAAACAAAAGTCAGGAAAGGAATTTTTTTTCTTCTTTTTGGGTCACAACCAGCGATGCTCAGGGGTGACTCCTGGCTCTGCACTCAGGGATTACTCCCCGGCTGTGCTCAGGGGACCACATGGGATGCTGGGAACCGAACCCGGGCCAGCCACTTGCAAGGCAAACACCCTACCCCGCTGTGCTATCGCTCCAGCCCCAGGAAAGGAATTTCAAAGACCATCACCACTTCCAACCCCCTTTGTAACCTTCCTAGCAACGGACTTTTACCTAGGTAGAAGCCCCACATGGGGGCAGGTTGGAGAAACCCTATAAAGGCCACCTGGAACAAAGGGAAAGCAGGTATGTGCTGCCTGATCCCATGTGCTGCTTGCACCCACGTGGCCAAGCACATGTGTCACCCGCATCTCCCCTCTTGAGATGTGGACTTTCATGCTTTTGTGTCTAATGCTGGAATGTGTCTAGGGCTCTCTCCGCCCTTGGAGAAGCCCACATTCTCTTAAGTGCGTTCCTCTCTGTGTCTCTGTCTCTTCTCTCTCTCTCTCTCTCTCTCTCTCTCTCTCTCTCTCTGCATACCTTAAAAACCCTCCAGATAAAATCTATTTCACTGCTTGTCTACTCCTGAAATTCCTTTTTGCAAGGTGAGACAAGAACCCAGTAACTCTGGGTCCTGGGTGGCAGAGGCAGATGGGGAGAAAGTGACTTTCTCTTCCCCGCTTCACATAAGTCACCGGTGGGGCCCACCGACAACAGGTTTATTAGAGGCTCAGTGCTGAGCACCCCAAGTCAGAAGAGAAAGAGACTTGGAGCCCTGTCTGCTAAGAGGGTCTCCCTTTTATCCTCTACAGGTGGGCTGCAATCTACATGCATTCTTATCAGTGAAACAGGAGATACAGAGGTAATTGGCAGAAGAAAAAACAATCAAGCATCTTTCCCACACGGTCTGGCCTTCAGGTGCTCAAAGGGAAACAGCTGGCGCCAGCCTATCTCGCCCACTCCCTGCGGTGCAGCCTCCAGGTGCGTCTCCCGACGGATGCACCCATCAACCTGTCGGGCCCAGTGGCCCGGTGTGCTCCCATCGATCCGGCGGGCTGGTGGGCTCTTAACTCCGTTAACTGGGGTCATAAAAGGAATGCTTCTCCCTCCGTTCTCTCGTTTAATTTAGGGGGTCAGTTTCAGTCTCTCGGTCCCCATCACATTTTCTTAATTTTCGGTAAAGTTTCATAATTCTCATTACATACAGTTTCTTATTTATACTTTCACCCCAGAGTGACAGTACAGCGGGGAGGAC